TCCCGGTCGAGGGAAATGGGGAAGTAATCCTCACGAGTAAACGCAAATCTGGCGCATTTATGGCTATAAAATTTTCTGGGAATGCACAAATGCCTTGAGAATCAGTTTTTAGCCAAAAAACACACAACACAAGGAATAAAAGAAAGATAAAGCATGCTCCTTACACAGGTCTAATGTATGGGATTATCCCTAAACAAAGCAAACAAACGACAGCGACTCACTGGGAGCGCTGGCAAATCAATTTTACATATCGCACACTCACACATCCTTGGTCCTGGCTTATCCTTTCGCATGGAAATGAAAATGGAAATGGAGTGCCGCCTGCCTAGCGCGAACTTGAGGAAAACAATAAACTTTCGCCCGGCATCTAATATAAAAGGTGAAAATCTTTCGAAAGCTTCCAAAGGTTTTTGGCCCCATCTCCCCGCAAAACATCGGGCTTCGAGCAGCAGCAGCTGGCAGCGGCCCATAAATGTGGTTAAATGTAAAAGTTTTTGCATCTTTTGGATAAGCGTGCGGTGTTTGTACAAAGTTCATGGCATCCCAGCTGGCTGGGTTGCATACGAAATCAGGGGAAGGAGGATGGTGATAATGTATCCACTGATCACCGCACAAATTCTACAAAGTATTCGGTATCCAGCATAAGCCCCTTCCCGGTTAATTATGAATGAATCTTTTCGGAGACTTTGGGTCAGGAACGCACTTAAAAGCAACTGCAACTGTAACCGCACAGTAAACTGTCTGAAAAGTATTTTTTAAATAGCCCGCGGCAATAAAATGCATGGAAATAATATGCACAACAAAAAGCAATACTCCCAAACCAAAAATTTATAAACTAATAATGGTTATTAATGTACTAAGTTAGTTAGTGAGCTGTGTGTTAATCGTCCTCGTGTTAGCTTGTCTTGCCTCAAATGGACTTCTGAAATACTTGTATTTCGGATGCTAAAGTTGCGCTTCTGGAAAGATTTCTTCCAGTGCAGCTAGGTATTGCCAACAGAGCTCTGGCCATCGAAACAAGGCCGTTGCGTGCCAGTTAAGAGCCAGAAATCAAGGGGTTAATGCATATGCCACACACTCACTGGGGCACTGCCATGGAAAATTATCTATCTGCGGCCCATCCCATCGCATTACCAAATGCTGCAGCCTGAAATACTGTAAAATGTTCCCAAACATTTCGTTGGCCCATGCTAATTATGGCCAGTAAATTAGCTGCCGCGACCTTCCAGTTTTTGGATAATAAGTCAGAGTATGTCGGTTTTGATTGATTAATTCAAATTGAACTGGGCCATGAATTGAATTTTTAATGGCACCATAATTTGGCAGCAATTAAGAGTGGGAATGGTTAGGGGTTTGACGTTATTTTTAAAAGGGTTAGCTCTTGTGTGGCTCATAATATTTTAAATCGAAGCTGAATATTTTTCAGGTTTTTTTTCTAAAGAGCATTCCCGCTTCTGCATTTTCCATTTCCCTTCATTTCTTTGTTAAATTTTTGGGGACTCCAGCTCAATCAAGTTGACACTAACACATGTCGGGCACTAAGTGTTGGCCCCTTTCCATTCAAAAAAAAATGGGGGAAAAGCCTCTATTAATAGCGCATTAATTGATGATTATGTCGGTGGAAAGCGTCGTTGACAAACTACGTATCTGATGGATACATGCAGCTTGAAAACGCCCCTGAACGTTGCCATTAATCAAACCGTAGCTGCTGATTTTCGAAGAGCTTTGCTGCGGTTAAATATTTTGAGCGGCAACACATGTTGCCAGTGTCATAAAGCCCAATGATTTGTCTTCGGTGAGCGTGTGTGTTAGCCAAGCCGCAGCGACAGGCTTTGCAACATGCAACACTCTCAACTCTCAACTTTCAACTATTTAACGCCACAAAAACAACAGAAAAAGGCTGCGAAGTGCAAGTACTTTGAGTACTGCGAGTATTTCGGCATCGCACTCGCAACTGCATTCGATAGATACTCGCAACCACAAACAAGCTGCAGTTTCGTCGAGCCAGATGTTATGGATAACTCGGGGGCTGTAGCTGGAGCTGTGGGCGTGGCATTGTGCGTTCTGCGGCTTTGGGGTCTCGGTTTTCCGGCTCTCAGTTCGGGTACGGATTTTGCGTAAAAGTTTTTGAAACATTCGCGCAACTATGGCAAGTATTTTCGTATTCAAAAACCAGTTGAGCTGTCAGCATTCATCTGCTGGTTAGATAAATGCTAGTACTTATATAGAATTGCGGAAGCCAAAGTTTCGCCAGCAACTTTATGGGTATTTATTGATTTTAAAAATAGTTGCGAGCGAGTTGGCCTGATTGATGGTTTGCATAGTTGCCGGTAGAACTCTTTGCCTCTGTGCTATGGCGAGTGGATTCGTGAGATTTGGATGAGCCCAATGAAATGGGAAGTGATCAAAATGTTGTTTTGTTTCGAGAGTTTGTTTGCCAGCGAATAGTTCAAGTTTTAGTGGTGCATTTCATAGTAGTCGGCCAATTCGAATTGCAAACTCCCGCTAATGGCGGCTTTGGAGTCTCCAATTCGATCTGAATATCAATCTGTTGTGTGTTGTTTCCCCAAGTGGCGGCTTTCCCCGGAAAATTGGACCGGCCTAGTGCCATTGTGGCAGTTGAAGCTGCTGCATTTGCCCCCGGCAATTACTGGCACATGCAACACATGCATTGCGCCTCCCACCTGCGCATATTGGCCAGGTAGTTCTCCTTGGCCAAAAACTTTCGCCGAAATCCGCTCGGGTAAAAGTGAGGCTGGCGTCATTGGCCAGAAGTCTTTCGGGGGCACCAGCCAAACATTTGCCGAGACACGACTCCAAATTAACACGTAAATTGCAGCGGGTTAACACGCGTTCGAGTGCAGTTGGAAATTGTTGGCAAGCCAAATGCCCTGTTTCCGCTTCAGATTCAGTTAACGTCACAGTAGACTGCAGAGAGAGAAATAATATCAAATAATACGGCAAATAATTAGATGAATGTGGGATATTTAACACAAGTTTCGTTTGTTCAAATATAATTATTGGAAAACATGGTATAACAATAATAAATGCCTTGCTCTTGTGCACTTTAAACTTTGAAGCTTTCTTATCAGTATATTGTATCTGCTCTTGCGATACGCTACAATATTGACCCTCACTTAACGCCATTTTTTTGCTGAATGTACCCCTGTCTTAGCCTCGTTAAAGACGGCTCGCTTGGCCGAATGACTAGCGGGCCTTGTTACAATTAATTGCATATGCCGGGAAACATTTTTGCATACCGGCAACATGGTGCAGTTAACAATAAATTAGCGTTTAAAATGCAATGGCGGACCCCTTCGCCGAAGCCAAGTTCCTGGGCTCTTGGGCTCGTTAGCCCTACAAGATCACGCAGGCGACGTCAGGCGATCAATCAAGAAAGCCGGTAATGTCTACCCATCGCTACACGATAGTTTAGCTGAATGGCGCAATTAATTAGTTTCGTGTTAATGAGCAATGCGCATCATCCCGTGGTCATAACAAGGCCTCCAGACACTCCAGTGCTGCGCACTCGATGCAAGGAATTTTTTAATGGCCTGCTGCAGAGCGAACTAGAAATTTATGGCCAGCGGACAGGCCTGAAACGATGAAGACTCACTTAAAGTTTATGGAAGCCAAGGATCCTGCACTCAAAGTCAACGGTTTGCTGTGCTGCGGCCGAAGAAAAGTGTTGAGACTACAGCCAACTTTGAGCTTCTGTTGAAAGTTACACTGAGGGCAATGATCGAAGGTGGTCCTAAGAACATGTAAAACATTCCCACATATTATAGAACTATTTTTTCCCGTGTAAAACACTCACATTGCCGCCCTGACTTATGAGGATGCACGTTCCACGTCATTAGAGGCCGACGTTTTATTTTACTTTTGTGGCTGGCGGTATCAGACTCACATTGGATCGAATAAAACACAATATCCGAGGCCTCTGTCAGCGTTTACCCTTTTATTATTGTTCCCCGATAGGCTTCAAAACACCAGCGCCACTCCGACCCCCAGAAGCGATGTCAAAAGTTATGAGCAAACAATTTTCTGCTTAAAAGCGTCTGTCACAAAACTTTCGAGCGCCCCTTGTCAAGCCAAACAAATCCTGTATTGTGCCGCCTATGTCAGGCAATACTTTTCACAATTTGCCTGTAATTACGACAGCCGGAAAAGTTCGGTGGCTCCTGGGTTTTTCCATACTCCTCTCCGACTTCAAAAACGAAATTCCTACGTGATTTGATTGTAACGAGCTTTGGCCAAGGCAGCAACAACGATCGACAATGCAAATGTATCCTATCCGCGTATGTATCCTATTTTGTAAATTAATGCTTCGCCCGATGCCGACCATTGTGGGGCGTGGCAGCGCCCCCTATTATTTGCAACACACAATGCAGAATATCGTGTGTCAGAAATCAGGAATTGATTCAGTCGCTGATTTCTATTGTGGGTCCTTCGAAACCGATTTGTCGGCAATGCGTGTTGTATAATGTTTCGCATAGTTTTGCAGCTGAAGTGGTTTGATTTGATACCAGCCCCTCCCTTTCGATCCAGCATACTGCCAGCATACTGTTGCAAAGTGCTGTTGGCGACAAAGCAAACAGTTTTCATTTTCAAGGGACGGGTCCCTGTCCTCTGCTCGGTTTTCCAACTGACCGTTTTTGCTTTATAATTTGACAATCAATTGACAGTTCGTTGGGTAAACAGGGAAACACAAATGCAAACACGCACTCGCCGAGCGCAAAAATATGCAACAAAGCCCTTGACAATAAAAATATGAAATAAAATATCAAATAACTTCGCAAAACTATTGGTGAGCAAATTGCGTTGGCCAACTTGGATTTCCCCATGACATTAGTTAAGTGCTTGTGTGCGCAGCTGGGGTTACAAATACAACCTTTGAGCTGTCACTCACTCGGCAAAACTATGGTTTTAAACCGATTAAATATCAAAATATCAGATTATGATTAAAAATAATCAAATAGAAGCTCATTAACATGGAAATTGTACACTCTATTTTCAGATACTTAAGCTCCCATCGCTTAGACCTACGAACTTAAATTCGCTAGGTTTTCATTAGATATTTCCCTGTCGAAATCTTAAGCCAATGATGTCCAGGATATCCTCCTTGGTAAGCTTGTCCTCCTCCGCTTTTTGTGGCACTGGCGGAGGCTTTGAGGGAGCAGGAGTAGGAGCTGGTTTGTTGGGCAGGACAGGAGCCTTGGGAAGTGGAGCTGCTGGCGGAACAGTCGAGGCTCGCTTGGCATGATGTTGTTGCTTGATCGTGACCTGAAAATTGCCCTTGGGCTTTTCGCCCATAACCACCACGAGCGGTGGCTTAGCCTCATCACTGGAATGGCTGCTCGATGGGGGCTTCACCCAGCAGCGATAGGTGCCTAAGGATACGCCAGGAGGCGGTGGCTTGGAGAGCAGGTCCTCGCTTTCACTGTTCTCCTCCGGTGGCGCCTTCTCCACCTTCGGCTGTGGCTTGTTCTCCGTATCTTTTTTGATCCTAAATGGCGTCAAGTAGGTGAAGAGGTGCGGATAGGCATGCTGCTTAAGTTCGCAGGTGCAGCCGCACTGGAAGTCCTCCTCCTCGGCGTTCTCTTGCTGCTCCTCGACCTCCAAAAGCTTTTCCTTTGCCTTCAGCCGGGCCATCCTCTCGACACTGCTTCCACGGAATGGAGCCACATAGCAGAAGTCAGTGTCCTGGTCCTCCACTCCAAACTTGGACAACTTCTCGGCCTGCGCCTCCTCCTCAGCAGCACCGTCATCGAACTCCGGCTGGCAAGTGCACACTTTGCAGGTGCAGGTGCATTCCGAGTCGCAGGACAGATCATCCTTGGCACATGGAGGACACAGCACCTCCATGGGTGGAAAGGGCACCCGGTGCTCGGGGAACTCGTCGTCCTCCTCGGTGTAGGGCAGCCAACGGCAGATGTACGGTCCCTGGCTACATTCCGCCGTAATCTCCGGCGATTCCCGGGCCTCACCACTCTGCCGGCAGCACCTCAGGTGCGGGCAGTTGCACCTGGTCTGGCTAGCCGAGGTGGTGCTACTGCCTTTCCGCGGCGTCTGCTTTTGGGAAATAGCCTGATCGGCCTTCTTCAGCATGTGATTGTGTCGGGATGAGGCTGTACTGACCGCCGCTGATGGTTTTTGAGTCCCTCCGCGAGTGGAGATCTTTGAGGGAGCACTACTTACGGCCATATTGTACCTGGCGTAGAGCACCTCCACTTGGCCCGTGGCGGAGGAGGGAGTTTTAGACGGCGCTAGTGAATGGTTGACCGTCTGCTGTCCACAGGGACAGGTGACGTTGTCCACCCAGATAAATCGCTTCTTCAGCACATCGAATAGATTTTTGTAGACGCACTCGATCCGTTCCTCGAACTGCAGCTCCTCGGAGTACATGAGCCCGGCCAAGACGGCGTGGATCTGCGCCGTGCGGCGAGCAGCGTGCAACCAGAGGCACTCCACCTCGTGGGTCATCTTGTCCGCCAGGCAAACGTACCGACGGCCCTCTATTCCGGTGCCAAAGTAGAAGGCCTTCAGGAAACCATAAGTATGAGCTGGAAATTTGCATTGTTCAGAACGACCTACCTTGAATGCTCTCTTTACAATGGAGTAGGCCATCTGGGCGTCCATCCGGGACATCTGCGCCTCGTGGGCCAGCCCGTGGAGGAAGCTGTCCTTGGCGAATCGCTTTCGTGGCACTCGGTCGATCCGCTGGACGACCTCCTCGTAGTGCTGCAGAGATCGCTTGATGACCCCAGCGCTCCGCTTGACCTCCCAGGGACGGAGACCGCAGATCCGCATAACCTTCATGACGCTGTCAGTGACATCCGCAATGTCCAGGAGGTGGTACTCCGCCTGTAGCTCCCTGTTCCACTCAGCGCAGTCCTTGTGTTCTGGTTGGTGGCAGAGGCATTTTGGTCGCACTGGCGGCTGTTTCTTCGTTGATTCAGTTTCGAACATGCCGGTTGAATTTTGGACTTACGAATAAAATATGTTTGTGTTTGTCAGCTGGATAAAAGTGGAGTAGGCTGCCAATTCCCATGCCTAAAACACCTAGATTACATATCAGGTTGCAGTTCCCACTATATTTTCCCCACCTATTGCATATTTTAAATAGTTAATGAGCACATTCCATGTATGTTGCACTGCGGCCTTTCAGTACCTCCCGGCGAACCGCATCATGGAACACCTGTCGCCGGGATTCCCCAGAGGACAGATATCCCGGACAAGTGCGCCGCTGCATTTCTGGCGTTCCTCGGTCTTCGGTGTTTGAATGCTTTTCAGATAGGCGGGAGAATGCATATTTATCACGAAACCAGCACGCATGCTGATGTCGATATTTGTTTACCCAACAATTTTTCCACCGCCCGCGCATCGCGCTTCAGAATGCATGTTTGCTGCCTGATTTACTACTGTTCATTTGAAATACTTTTATGATGCATTTCGAGCGGAAACGCACTGGGGACAAGATACACATTTCCACAAGCGAACGCGCAAAAACAACAAACAACACTGAGTGCCTTAATATTTCCCCCATCCTATGGTGCTCTCAAAGAGAAGACTTGGGAAAACAATATCCAAGGAAAGTGCGCAAGTAGCATGGGGAATAAAAGATACTCTGAAATGATGTACTCAACTGTTCATCAATTTGTGAAAGAGAAAGAGTCAAGTTTACCTACCTGCTGTCTGACATACATTGTATATGATATCAAAATCAGTTGTGTGCAATTGTATTTAAATAAAACAAATTAAAATAATTAAAAATTAACATTGCAGTAAATTGAGAAACTAAGTGTATACTGATCAAATATATCTGCATGTATTAATTAATTTGTAGTATTCTTTAGTAATAACTGGCAAATGCGCCATTCTAAACAGAGACTTTCAAACTATTATACTTGTATTTTATTTTTGACAAATACTCGTAGGTAATTAAATCATCAGTTGTCTGGACACAACTGAAGGTCTGTCCCGCGTAAAAAGTGAATCAAAGTCTGAACAAATATTTTCATGCGGTCGTGACAAATATTTAGATAGTTGGCGCACCATGGAATCCCGGGGAAGGTGAAATGTGCTGCGCCGTGCCTAAAATAAAATAAAATCAAGCGAAATGAAATGAAAATACGACAGAAACAAAACGAGCAGCCCCGGAACAGAAAAGAGCGGAAAATGCGGGCACATTGACAGTGCGGGCGATTGATTTTTCCTGTGTTTGAATTTCAGTTTCTACAGCCAGCCCAGTGCCCAAGTAAAGCCGTGGGTCGTTTTTCCGGGGCGATCTAAAATTAATGCATGGCAAATAGATGGCGCTGCAGTTGTCAGCCGAGCAGATAGACAGTCCCTAAACTCCGGCATTGCAAATGGCAATGGGGCGTCGTTCGAGACGGACAGAATGAGTTTAATTGTTGACCTTAGCTATTAGCCCCTGTCAAGGGTCTTTTCCTACCGCCACTACATTGTTTCATGAACTGACATACGCTCGTGCACGCATACACGTCATTGTGCCCCTCAATTGATATGCAAAAAACACAACGCACATTTGCAAAAGTTTCCTAGAATCCACTTCAGACGCTCGCAAACGCTTTGGAATGCAAAAGGCGCTGACTGACAATCGGATTCCCAGAGCCACAGAGCTCCTTTGTCGGCTCCCAGTCCCTCGATTTATAATCGCATTTGTTTATGTTGCAGCAGCAGTATTGTTTTTGATTTCTGTTTCCAACGCATTCAGGGAATGTGCACCTCATTACTATGGCCAGTGCATCACCGCCGGATTGCGAAATGTTTCAGGGCAATATAAGTACGTGTCACTGCCTCGGCAGCCGATCTGCAATAAACAATGATTTGCTGCCTACTACTAGATCTATAAGGCATTTTTAGGACAGTTCATTTGTGAAAAGATATGTATGTAAAGTTTATTGGCTAGCTGAAATTCCGGTGAGTAAAGTACTACGGTGGTAGGGCAGCATTTCCCAATCACTGCTAAAACCCCTGGATCTCCATTCCCATGGAGACTGCAATTAATCACTCTTGATCTTGATTAAAAGTACGCACCCGCACACGAGCTCCCCTTCATAAGATGGAGGGCCAGACAAGCCAATTATAGACAGCCAAAGCCCCGTGAAGATGCCAGCGATCCGATGAAGATCCACGGGCTGAGCTGCTGCTGAATGAAAATGAAATGGAAATTATAATGCGAACAGCAGCAAGACAGGCCCACTGCAATAAAGACATCAACAGTTCGGGGCATCAAAGGAGCGGCTAGGCGAAAAAACTCGGAGGGAACATGCAGCAGAAAGGGGAAATCCCTTATGAGATTTCCAAAAATAATATTAAAATTAGCAACGAGGCGCGGCAAATGGCCTGTGCATCTGCTGCTCGACTAGATAATAAATCCAGATCCAGCGGCACGTCCTCAGTTTCAGAAGGAGTAGATCAATCAGAGCTTAGTGCCAGTAATTATGAATGACAAATGTTCGATTTACACTGCAATATGGATGGGTTATAAATAAACAGCCATGAGAAGTCGCTGTGATGGTGAAAAAATGCAGAAATAAAATTTGTTAGGGATGGTTAGTTGATTAATTTATGGAACTACTGAGTAACCAGTCAATATAAAAAGAACACAAATTCAAGACTGTAAGCTTCGGCCTTGGTTTCCTTACTAAATTTCTCCCAAACTTTCGCCCACTCCTGCACGTCTTTATAGGGATATATATGCTTACCTTGCCGCATTCACACGCTCGATCCGATTCCGACCTGCAAACACAGACATCCTTCGGCCGGGTTTAGTAATTCTAGCGCCATATTTGACCGCTCTGTTGGCCTTATCACGCCGAGCCACTAGTCAGCCAGTTCGGAACTCAAGTGACCACCACAAAGTTGCCTGACCGCAGCACAGTGGGCTCAGTTGCCGCTGTAATTAGCAACGAGGAACTCGTTGTTGGCTAAAACCACCGGGATTTTGGGACTTGAATCAATTTGCATATGTGTAAATCTGCAGAAGATAAAAATGGCAATCTGTTATATTTCAAATGTATAAATATAGTCACGCATTTCTCCACGGTGCACAGGTGCAATCGCCTGTGTGTCCCACTCAGGTGCACAGTTTTTGTGGGATGAGTGGGTTGGGTGGGATGGGTGGTAGGTGCGGCGGGCATTTACAACATTTGCGGTCTGCAGGCATTTGCATTTTACTTTCGAATGGGCCCGCTACGGCACGGATATGTGTCTATAACAAAACAATTAGAATCCACGGAGTCCGTGGCCACGGACTGAGACCTCGGCGATTTGACGCTGATTTATGAGGGGCGCAGGCGGAGGAGGCGGTGTGGGCGTGGCCGGGCCACGAAAACTCAAAGACAGGCACGTAGCAAAAGGCCGAGGGTGCGGGGATAAGCCATCGACCAAAAGGCAAATAAAAGAAACTTGGCACACACATAAAAGGCCAGGAAGGAGGAGGGTGGATGGGTGGATGGGTGGATGGCTGGGTGTCTCCGTCACTTTGGCCACCCGTGGGCATAGTAAATGCTAGTGAAACAATTATGCAATTACTTAATTTGATAGCCCGAGTGCGAGCGTGTGTGTTTGGGGTATTTGTGTGCGGCTATTCTGTGCTGGCCAACTCCCAACCGCCCATTTCCGCATTACGTATACGTAGCGTGGCCCTCGTGTTTGCCTTGTGGCCATGTAATTGTTTTCACTGAAGAAGTTGACCAACATTTGGCCTGCATAATCCATGGTTATGAGTGCGACAAGACATTGCGGCTCAAGTTTTGCAATTTTCGCCGTCAACAGCTATTCATTTTGGGCATACACTTCCCATTCCATGTTGGAATTCACCTGTATCTTGGCGGATATAGCTGTCAGCTTTTGGCCCTCTATGCCCTAATGCTGCTTAGAGTCACTCGCACAATATCCTGGCCATGTAATCACTTCTCCTGGAGAGAGGGAGCCAAATAACCAAATAACTTTTTATTATCATGGCCCGAAATATGTCACAGCACTTATTTCGTCCTGTCCCAGCAGAAATTTCAGCAACAATCAACACCTCCGACGCCGACGCCGACGCCCGGCGAAAGATCTGAAAACCCAAACGGGGTGTGCGCAGAGTGCTAAAAATGGCTGGAAATCATGGCTAATATAAATCATCTTGGCAAGCAGCTTTGCATGTTTGAGTGTCATACATAGGGCAGGGCAATATGAGAGCGCTCACGTTTGGGCGCAAAGGCGGCAGGAGCGGGGCTCATAAACACTTGGAGCTTGCCTTAACCCTTTTTGACTTTTGCAAATGTGGATCTGCAGCCCCCAAAGGGGAGAAAGCACCCAACCAAACCAAAGCCCACCTGGGCGCACCTTTTCCGGGCTCTGTTTGCTTTGCTACTCAAGTTGTGTTTTGTGTTTATTTTCGTTAGGATTTACTAAAGCAATTTTCTTTGTTGTTTCTTCAAGGCAGCTAGAGCTTTTCCTTTTCGTTAGCCGTATTAGTTTGGGTGCGTGTGTGTGCATTCGCATTCGGGCTGTGTAAACACACATTTGACATTTGCTATATTTTTTGTGCAAATAAATAGTTGAGGCCGCCCGAAGCAAAAGAGCTGCTGGCATGTGTTTTCGCCCTTCTTTGCTTTTATTCACCTGTGCAGGTGGGAAAGTCCCCGGAGATTTATGCCATGTCAAGACATTTTTAATTAAGTTTGATTCAATTAGCAAAGGATGCTGCAGTAGTAGTGGTTGCATGAGTGCAGCACAATTGACAACAATTGAATTTGCCATGTAAATACTTCATGTTGCAAAATGTAATTGCGAATGTTTGCCAGTGAAAAAGGCGACTTAAAGTGTCCTTTTCCCCAGTGGAATCCCTACTCCGGATTATGCATCCATATCATGTCGGAGCGCCGTATAAGAATTAAGTCATAACGCTTTCAAGCGCGTCTGTTTCAAATGCAAAAACCTGACAAACGCAACATGGCAAACATAAATAACCCGAACCAGCGGTGACAATAACAAAAACTGGAGGGGAAAC